ACATGAGCTAATTTTTTTTTCTTTTTTAGAAAGACAACAAAGTTGCTGCATAGTCTACAAACAAGTCTCTGAAAATAGGTGAATTTCTAGCTCTTCATGGTCCTGAAAATTGATTTCAGTCTTTGCGAAGAATGAAGAAGTGAATTCGCTGTACATTTGTCACCAGCACTGGGTTTTAGTTTTTTGTTTGTTTTTCCGCTTAATTTCAAAGATAAAATGCAGTTACTTTTGGGGGTGGAAGGCTCATCTTACAACATGAGCATTAAATATACTTGGAATAGCCGAAGCTTAAGTAATTCCTTATGTATAGTTAAACTAAAGCAGTACTTCAGTGGGACTTACAAGTATTTTTTCATCACTGAAAGGTTTTTTTTATCACTAAATTGTATTTGGTAGTTACAAGTTGCCTGCAGATAGAGCCGTGATACTGTGTTTTGAGCCACAGAAGGTTGTGTGTGTGTGTGCGCGTGTGTGTATGTGTGCGTGTGTGTGTGTCTTTTTCCTCCTTTCTTTTGGGGAATCCTGTAATATGAGGTAGCTTATTTCGTCAGTTAATTAGGGTGCTGGATGGTAGAGAATTTTGTCAGTCAACTATGTACACACAGTAAATACTGTTTCTTAGGCAAAGGTAACTTTTTTATATAGTTGTAAAATTCCATTATATTCCATTGCCAAAGAAACATTAAGAACTTTGTATAGCTGTATAAAAAGCAACTAATTTTTTAAAGAATAAACATTTTAAAGTCAGCAAACGTACTGTGTCCTTGCAGAAGTTGATGCGCTGAGCAGCAGCATTATGGGTGGGTCTTTTTTTCTTAGTTTTCCAGGCTTAATGTTTTTTGATTTTGTTTTTTTAATGTTTGAACATAAATGAAGATTTGATACGTTCTTTCATTATCTAAAAAAATGATAAATTATTCATGCTCATTGTAAGAACTTCATTTTGTAGCAAATGGCATATCACAGGATCTGTCCAGATAATATTTTCAGTATACAAATGTAAATAATCATAAGATGAGAATGTACTTAGCTGTATTTTCAAATAAGTAAACCTCCCCCCTTTTTTAGGACTTTAAAACTAGGCATCAATGAACCTGTTTTTCCTATAATGCCTGGAATTTAGTCATGATACCTTGACTCATTCCATCATATTTCAAGAGGATTCAGAATGTGAGGAATTATCTTGGAAGCCTGTAACACATGGCACTACCGGTCCTTGGGCCTGTGACCCACAGATGACTCAGTATAGAGTTCATTGTTAATTATAAACTACTAGTGAATCTTTTTGATATTTTAAGCACTCATGGGAAAAATCTGGCCACTTTTGTGTTTTTATGAAGGCCATGGAATAAAAGGATCCAAAGATTTAAATATTTTTATCTATTTTGATTTTTTTTGTTAACTTTCTCCTTAAAACATTCAGTAGTGATAAAGATGTGGAAACTGCACTGTTGGAGAATTGGAATATTTAAAGCTGGTTGATATTTTTTATTTTAATTTTATATCTTTTATATAGCTCTACAAGGCAATGTTTTGTAATTTGGTTTCATTATTAAGATTCGGTACGGGGCAGCCATAGTTTAGATAGTATCGTTTAGTGCTGTTTGCTTGCATGTTAACAACAAAACCTTTTAGAGCACCCACAAATCATAACATTGAACACATTTCTGAGGCATTCAGAGCATCAAAGCAAGTGCTATGACAACACCTGTGTAGACTGTTTGAGATGTCCCCGGCGAATTTCAAGAAAGAAAACTGTAAATACTAGTTCCACTTGCTCTGAAAGTATGAGTTCATGCGTTTTCCCAGCCCTCTGAGTCACTGACTGGGGCATTTTGTGCCCCAACAATAACTGGCAGCATGGCATACCTGAGTACACTTTACAATATTAAAGCAAGGTTTTTATTCTAAAACAGAATAAAACTGTTCAATAAAAAGTGCTCGTCAAAGTTCTTTCTCTTTAAATAGTAACATTCTGTTTCAGTAGGAACATAATGAAAGGCATCTTTTAAATGGAAAAGGGGGAGTATGATAATGTTTGTATTCCCTGCAATAACTATAAATCAGTTACTTTATTTTTAAGATTGATTTATTGTTGCAGATGTTTAGGGAAAGCTAAAAGTCCCTTTCTTCCCCTCCTGAGTATAAAAAAAAATAGTTCTGAGATCAGATCTGTGACATGAGGAGACTAAGCCAACCAGGCACAGACCAAGCTGGAAATAGGAGCCAGAACACACCCCCCATGGGAGATGCATGCAGAAGATGCAGAACCTGTCTATTAGAACAGTTCCCTCCAAAAGCTGGGCGTCGTGTGAGGGAAGGGCAAGAGGTCAGGAATGGTAGTGCATCACAGTGGCTCTCTGTCGGGTTGACCTGATGTCCTAGGAACACAATCATCTGTTGCTTAATAATAGCGACATGTTCTTATTTTTTAATAGCAATGAGGTCTCACCTTGTTGCCAAGGAGGCTGGTCTCTTAACTCCTGGGCTCAAACAATCCTCCCATCTTGGCTTCCCAAAGTGCTGGGATTACAGATATGAGCCACGATACCCAGCCATGACAAATTCCGAGAAATGTGTTAAGCGATGTCATTGTGTAGACATCAGAGGGTATACTATACAAACTGAGATGGTATGGCCTACTCCACACCTAGGCTATATAGTGTAGCCTGTTGCTCCTCCATGCAAACTACAAACTTACACAACACGTTACTGTGCTGAATACTGTAGGCAGTCATAACACAGGTAAATATGTCTGTATTTAAACATACCTAAACATAGTATATAGTAAAAATTGGGTATTATAATCTTTGGGACCACCGTTGTTTACACAGTCCATCGTTGACCAAAACATTATTAAGTGGTATATGACTACTGAGGAACCTGAGGGGATGTGTTTTGGTTGTCACAATGACTGGGGATCACCACTGCTATTTAAAAGTAAGGGCCCGGATGGTAAATGTCCTACACAGTAGCACCGTCAGCATTGTTGAAACCCATTATCACGTAGGCGTTAGGGCTTCATTCTGTTCTCTGTCAGTGGTTCACAAATCTCTGGTCAGAATCTACCGAGTAGCTTTTTTTTTTTTTTGGGAGACGGAGTCTCACTGTTGCCCAGGCTGGAGTGCAGTGGCGCGATCGTAGCTCACTGCAACCTCCTCCTCCCAGGTTCAAGCGATTCTCCCTGCCGTAGCCTCCCGAGTAGCTGTGATTACAGGCACCTACCACCATGCCTAGCTAATTTTTTGTGTTTTTAGTAGAGATGGCGTTTCACCATGTTGGCCAGGCTGGTCTTGAACTCCTGATCTCAGGTGATCTATCTGCCTCAGCCCCACAAAGTGCTGGGATTACAGGCATGAGCCACGGCACCCAGCCCCAAGGAGCATTTTTAAGTACGGATTCCCAGGCCCCATGCCCAGAGAGTCTGATTCTGAAGTTCCCTAGTACAGCAGAACCCAACCGTTTTGGCACCAGGGACTGGTTTTACCAAAGACAAGTTTTTCCACAGACAAGCAGGGGAATGGTTTTGGGATGATTCAAATACATTATATTTACTGTGCACTTTATTTCTATTACATTGTAGTATGTCATGAAATAATTATACAGTTCACCATAATGTGGAATCAGTGGGAGCCCTGAGCTTGTTTTCCCGCAACTAGACGGTCCCATCTGGAGGTGATGGGAGATAGTGACAGATCATCAGGTGTGATCAGTGAGTGCGCAACTGAAATCCCTCGCATGCACAGTTGACAGTAGGCTTTCCAGTCCTTTGAGAATGTCATGCTGCTGCTGATGTGACAGGAGGTGGAGCTCAGAAGGTAATGCTCGCTTGTCAGCCCGCTGCTCACTTGCTGTGTGGACTGCTTCCTAACAAGCCACAGACCACAACCAGTCTGCCGCCCAGTGATCAGGGACCCCTGCCCTAGTAGGTCTTAGGAATTTTTTTTTTTTGCGATGAGTCTCGCTCTATCGCCGAGGCTGGAGTGCAGTGGTGCAATCTCGGCTCACTGCAACCTCCACCTCCCAGATTCAAGCAATTCTCGTACCCCAGCCTCTTGGTTTTAGGAATCTTACTGATCCCACAGATAGTTGTGATTAGCTAGGTTTGGGAAGATGACTATACAACACCAAAGCTAGCTCCTGCTTTGGGGGCATTAGTACATTTTTCACAGTAGAGTTATCTGGGCATTTTCCCCATCCTTTCAAACCCAGTATATCCAGATTGTGACTGGGGAATGAAGAGAGGACGGGACTTAGTGGAAAGGAGGGAACATTTTTGCAGGGTGGAATCGGGGGAAATGGAGAGGATGAGACTCAAGTTTCCTCCAGAGTTGGGTGCTTTGCGTACTGAGTCTTACTTAAGTTTTTCTTCCTGGCATAGGGTTTGTGTTCCTTCTGTGTCTTAATTTTGCATGGCAGTTGTCCCTGCCTCTGTGGGTTCTTTGCCAGTCAGAGAAGCCGCTCCTTCTGCAGGGCCCCTCTGTTCACAGCATAGGCTGAGAAGCAACTTCTTGAGAAGGGTAACTTAGGTGATCCAATTACGTCTGGATTCAGTGTGTTGCAGGATCCCCCTGCCCTGTTAGTTCAGAGATCAAGCTGTTTTACATAGTGAAGGTGGGGAGAGTGTTATGGTATAAGTTAATCAAGGTGAATGATCTCTTCCTGTGGGAGCACAGATGTCACCAATTTGCTTTAGTTTTCCTGTTCCAACTGATTCTGGGCGTTTTTTGAGACAGAGTCTCGCTCTGTCACCCAGGCTGGAGTACAGTGTAGCGATCTTGGCTCACTGGAACCTCTGCCTCCGAGGTTCAAGTGATTCTCCCCTCCTCAGCCTCCCAAATAACTGGGATTACAGCCATGTACCACCCAGCTAATTTTTGTATTTTTAGTAGAGACGGATTTCACCCTGTTGGCCAGGCTGGTCTCAAACTCCTCACCACAGGTGATCCACCCACCTCAGCCTCCTGAAGCGCTGAGATTACAGGTGTCAGCCACCACAAATGGCCTGTTCTGTTTTTAAAATATAACAAGTATTAGCAAAATTGGAATCAAACTTAGGGAAGTATTGTAGTACCATTAATCTGTCAATCTGAAGACACTAAAAGGAGATTTGCTTAGCAGCCTGGTGGAGAGACAGACAACTTGGAAGTGGTATCCTCCAAACAGAAATTGGTCAAGGAAGGAAAGTGAGAGAGCTTTAAGCAGCAGAGGCTTAGAAGCCAGCCAGCCAGCAGCCAACTGTGCACATGCATGCATTGGGAAGCTAGTGGTCCAGGGCCCAG